ACTGTTAATGAACAGCACTGAACCGGTATGCTTGCACAGTTCAAGAAAAATGTCTTATGAATTAAAATCCTAGTTAATATACCTTAGTTTCCTTGTAGCATATGCTACACGTCTACCATCGAAGGTTACGCTGTTTTAATATTGGTTCATAATTAATTTCAAAACTTAAAGATAGACAAGCATTCATATCTTACCTTTTAATGAATTTTCTATTAAAACAACCAATGACAATACAGGGAATGAATTCATAATATAAATATTTCATCATAGTGGATTTAATCTCTGTATAAAAAGCTGTTAGTATTTCATTGTCATCTTTTCTCATCATAATCTGGACCAAGGTAATAATGTATTCCTATTAATATGTATATTCAAACAAACTGGGCCAAGTACATTATGTCTTATTCATAAGCAGCTTAAACTGTTCAATAAGTAAAAGGAAAATGCTAAACTGCTGAGAAGTACGTATGAATTGAAGGTAAAGTCATTCTGTTATATTATTTTAAGAAGTATTAAATTCCAGATAATTCAGCCTGTTAGTGATAGATACTTAGATTGCTGATTTAAGATGTGCTATACTGTTAAAGTTCCAGTGTGGTTGCTACCATTTCATAGCTTTTTACAACACAAGAAAGGAAACATAAATGCTTATGCTGATTTTGAAAACACTGAGCTAATTAGCATTGTTGGGTTTTATATAAATGGCAACCTTGATATGAACAATATTTATGATAAGCCTACAGAAATGGTGCCTAGGGCACCATTAAAAAAGAGTATCTGTTAAGCATTATTCACTCTTGGTTCCAAATTAATAAATAAAGGATTAAGGAATAGTTACGTGAGACTTTAAGTATAGAGTGATAAAACAAACTCCCACATTTCTTTGGTGTATATTTTATCCTAACTAGATGCAATTTACTTAAATAAGGCAATTTAATCAGTATTTGGTAAATTTGTCACTTGATATTGTAGATTCTTTCATCATATTTCACTTTAATCAAGAAAGGTAACACCTGTGGTTTATTCACAAAAGCTTCTTTTGTTAAATGAACACCCGCAGGCCATGAAGCAATTACATTTGTTGCTTGTACCAAAGTAGGAGGCACTTAAATAGACCTTAGTAGGGATAGATGAGAACTTGCAGACTTTATTCTTTTGTCCAGCACTGAGATTAGTTCTTATCATAGCTCAAGAAGGAAGCCTCTGAACTGAAATGAAAAGATGGGAACGACTTAAAGTTCTTCTTAAGTTTGGAACTTTGATATTGCTGGAGGTGATGTGAATACCTGTGACCTTACCAAAGTTCAGACTTTGTCTACTCCCAGCTGATTGTACATGCTGATGTTCTTTCACAAACACAGACTGCTTGGAATTCCAAAAGGAGAGGTTGAAAGAGATTCATGTTTATAATTCTCCACTTTTTAAAAATTCCTATTTCTCCATCTTTGGCGGGGGGAGAGGTACTGAAGTCCCCCAAAATCACAAACCAAACAAACCCCCAAAACCCCACCAAAACAAAAAACCCAACCCAAACCACAAAAGCGTATTTTCATTTAGTCGGGTTTGGGGGTATTTTTGAGGCAGACAATTTAATCCGTTAATCTTATTTGCAGTATTTTAGCTTTCCAGTGTGCCAGTTAATGCAGTGCAGGAATCTCATCTCTGGGTTTTGAAGTTAGTGAGATTACTCAAAGAACAGAGTTTGGTGTCACGTAAAAAGATTAAAAGAATATAATTCTTTGTTGATTTCTCCCATACCCATTTATGTAAATTAATGTTTTATGATAGTAAGTATGCATCACATACCTGACCTGTACTTCAGCTCTGCCACTTCAGCTGTACCACTGAGTAAATGACAACAGCTCGGCAAATTTAGCCAGTTTGTGGCAGCGAATTTATCAGAGCTGAGACAGACTATGCTACTGCTACAAGATAAATTGTTCTAAATGATAATCTTGCTCTTCTGGTGTATCTGCTCCTGTACGAGAGCCCTCAGAGCCTTGGAAGGGAGAAGGGGGAAGAGTCATGTGTCTGATCAGTGTCCTGCATTCTCATGCATATAAGCTGCACCTCAGATAACCGGTTCTGCCTGAGAACTGCTGTTCCTTGGAAATAAATCCTCAGATTATCTGCACAAAACCAGAGGCACAGGGGTTGCTCAGGCTCTGCCTCTGCAGACGATCAGAGGCAGCGTGTTTTTGTGTGAACCTGCGCTGCTGTGGAATTGCTGGTTTTGCATGTGACCCGCTAGTTAGTTATGTGAAAATTCAGTTGTGGGGCTTGTGAGACTTTCACGTCTTAGTTCTGGCCCGTGTGTAAGGGAGAACTGAAACGCTGCCCAGCCCAAGTTAAACGCTTTTGGCATTCTTGTCAATATTTTTTGTATTCACAATCTTTCTGTGTGTAGGAATGGTAACTGTGATTTCAGTTCTACTTCTTACATACAATTAATTTTGTCCAAGAGGTCCGTGGCCTGTAGATACCAAACTGCAACGTTACGAATTGTCAAGCAAGTGGCTTTCCCATTGCCTTGGGTTGGCTGGCAGTAGCAGCCTATTGGTGTGTAATTAATATATTCTTACTACAAATACAAATTTTCAGTAGTGTGGGGTTACTTTTTTTTCCTTTGGTTAAAAATGTATCTTGTTCCCAGCTACTGTGCTTGCATAACTTTGAGGCATTTCAGATTGGGTCCTGACTCTGCAAAGGTTGATACTCAAAGTGAACTTTATTCAATGTGAGTAATCCCACTGAAATGAGGGATGTGGTCTAGAAATAGCTTGGTGCATAAATCCCTGAAGGATTCTGGCTTTAGCCTTTATTTAAAAGGAGTGTAAACAACCTTTTTTTTTTTTTTTTTTTTTAAATTAATGATTATGGCCTGTCACTGGTATTTGGTTTTACATTTTCATGTAATTCATGTGATTTTTATTGCTTGTCTTAATTCTAGGTTGTAGTGAAGTGCCTAGATGATGGACAGGCACCATACAAAGGTATTATACTGTATTATCTCTAGATGAATCATACATTGTGACAGTATTCTTAACAACAAATTTACAAGGTACAGGGTCCTGTCATACCTTCCATGGAGAACTACGAAAGTTACCGTAAGTGGTGATTTTCAGTGTATAGGAATATACCTTATTGGAAATGTTCCACCTGGAATGCAGACTATGAACATCTTGTCTAGACAAGTAATTATTACTAATATTAGAAGTCATAAGTGATGTGCCACAGGTGTTAAAAGAACTTTATTTTTTATAATTTTGAGTGTGGAAGAAAGATGGACCTTTAAAGGTCCCTTCCAACCCAAACCATTCTATGACTCTGTAGGGATTCTAAGGTGATGAGGCAGGGATGTGCCCTCTAACATGCCTAAAGCACCTGGCCTGGATGCCAGAGGAGTACAGGGGGGTGGCTGGGAGAAGATGCACAGGCGTGTAGGTTGGATGCTTTTGATGATTACTAGCTCTTTTTGCCACTGTTGGAGACAAACTGTTGGTTCTTAATATGTAGCTTATACGTTTGCCACAGCTCAGCAAAGCTATCCACAGATCCCAGTCTGGCAGCAGGCTGGCAGGAGCATGATTAAGCAAGAGCCTAAAAAGCTTCTTTAAAGACAAGGTTCCCAATAAGTGTTACCTGGCCGGATACCTCTAAGTACAAACAATTACACTTCAACTGCATTTTCCTTAAATGTTTGTCTGGGGGAACCTGGTTTTATTCTTAGTGTTTTACATCCGATCTTTACTACTGGAGCTGTATTTCATTTTGTTTGGTCTGTTATCCTCGAATTCTGTATATGTAGACTCTATGGTATTTGAGTCCACATGGCTTATTTCTCAAACATTAATGTCAATACTGCTCAAACTCTTGAGTTAATTTGAAATTAGTTTTTTAAAAATTGTGTTTCTATATTTTTTCCTCAGAATTGCGGGGATAGTAATGTTTCAAATGCATATTTGGTTTTGGAAAAATGTATGTTAACTTAAAGTCCATGTTAAATATTGTCTAGATTGAGAGTATGTTGCTACTTTCAAATTTTCAGCCTGGTTTAGAATTTTAGAAACAAAAACAGATAAGAAAAATAATGAAGTATTTTGTTTAGTAACTTGTAAGAGTTTATCTATATCTGAAATATTTTTTACAAAAAATATCAAAATAGCGTTGTATATTCCAAGTGGAAATCTTAGCTTAAGATGCATAATAGCAACTTTTTATGTATGAAAGCTTTATACTCTTATTTAGGTAATTAATACAGCTATGTTGCTATTTCTTATTTTGTCATTACGTCAGTCAGTGAATGCCATGAATCTATGGTATGTAATATAGTTAATGCATAATATATATACGCAATGAAAGGTCTTTGTCATATAGTATAAGGTCACCATCATTAATTTTCAAATTATAAAAAGGGATTTGCTGTTTTGTGATCATCATTATTGCAATATAATGTGTTGTGGATTCTGCCTACACATAGAATGAACTGTGATCTTAATTAGAACTTTGACAAGCCTACTCCGATAAAATGATGAGATTATTCGTAATTGATGTCACAATCAATTACCAGTTAGTTCATCATGAATCTACTAACAGGTCTAGCCTTGGTGCTGGCCCCAGGATGTTGATGAGTGTGTGGCTGCCCTGTTCATGCTGTTACTGCGACAGGAGGGCAGATTTTCAGTCAACATCCTAATGACCTCTTTTGAAGTCTATTAAATTAATGACCCTGTCACATTGGTCTAACCTCTTACATCTTCATTTTGGATTTTTTGTTGCAAACCATTGTTTTTTGAGCACATGATAGAACAGATACTTTGGAGCACTCCTCATCTCTCCAAATCTAGCACTGTGTCTTACCAGATTCAATAAGAAATCAGTTCATTATACAGTCATGAAATACAGAGTACAGAGATCAGAAAATATATTGTAAGGCAAACTACTGTTTAATACCATTCTATTCTGTTTTCTTTTTACATTTCAATCTTGCTTAATCATAGGTGCCTAAAGGACATGTTTGGTTAGAAGGTGATAATCTCAGGAATTCTACAGATTCCAGGTGCTATGGACCTGTTCCTTACGGACTGATAAGAGGACGCATTTGTTTTAAGGTATATAAATTTATAGTATCTAAAAATAATTGCATTCATACATTTTCAGTGCTTGGGTGTTAGGTATGAAAACTGACCTCCTGAACTGTCTAGCCAAAGCAAATGTAAAGGAAAGCTTGAACACAGTGTAAAAGGATAAATATACAATGGTGGGGTTGTTTTTGAGGGCAGACTTACTTTTTGAGCAGCATTCTTTGAGCAGTCATTGCCTCTGAAAACTTGAGTGAATTATTCTGCAAGCAAATCCAAAGCTGATCCAAACACAAACATACAGACACACATATACACCCTACCACACGGACATACATGGAGGAAAAGGTCATCTCTCTGGGACTTCTAAACCTACTTTAGACACGTAGACTGGCCTTGCTGCTTTTTCAACTGTGTCTGTGAAAAAGCCTTAACAGTAAAGTCAAATCTGTGCCACAGTAATTGTCCACCACATTTTTACTTAAAAAAAATGCTTTAAATTAATATTTTATTGTATAAACCTCCATGGTTCCTTCTCCTGTTTCAACAATTCTACTGCTTTATTTCACACTAAATTACTTTTTCATATTATCTGCATTATTAATTTACTCATTTACCAAGAAGAACAAAGACCATTTCCTCTCCATAAAAAGTTTAATCTAAGGAACAAGGGAATATGTCTTCTAGACTTAGGCACCAGCTTTTAGAAAGCTAGATTTAAAATGGTGCCATTCAGAACAATAAAAAAAGGTTTTGAAAACTCTCTTCCATATATTGCAACACGTCCACAAAAACATCACTTGGCACAGCTGTATTACGTGCCCAGGGGAGATTAGATTTTTCCAATTTAACAAAGTTTTATATACTTAATTTACAGTTTTTAGAAACACAATTTGGGACTTTTCAAAAAACCTTGCATTTATTGACCATAATCACTAATTTCTTACTAAACCTCAAATAACATGTCTCAGCCCTACCAGTGTTTTGTCTGACCTCTGTTCTTTCTGGATAGCATTTGCTTTGAGTTCTTCCCTAGTATTGAGGGAAGGTGTTCCTTCTCTGTATTGTTCACCTTACCATGTACACCAGAGGAAAAAATGCTGATTTTAAATAGGGGTATTATTATGACCCAAGTTTTAGCTTGAATTATTAACTGCTAAAATACAAATGGTGCCAGTATGCTGACAGCTCTCTTTAATAAGAATGTTTTTAGTAATCCTACTGAAAAAAAAAAGTAATCAAACTGATGTACTAGTATTGAAAAGGGCACTGTTAGCAAATAACTTAGATATTAAGAACCTGTGTAGGTAGACAGCCATAATTTTTCACAATATCCCTCCACAGCAATAAATTTGTGTCCAGTTTGTACCCCACCAAGGAAGATATTTGAGAGACTTTAATGAAGTACCTGACAGGACTGAACCCTATATTTAGCAAGCAGTACAGTCTATAAAATGAATGGAACTTACACACAGATATTACATATTGAAAAAAATACTTTAGAACTCCAGAATATTGTCTGTTTAAAACACAGTATGCAATCACTTAATACTTACAGTAATTATTGAACCAAGTTTTATAGCCCTTGTTTTATGATGGTGCATAGGGTAGTGATTATTAACGTTTTAATGAGATTTAAGTATATGGTGCCTAACAAAAGCAAAAATGAGTTTATTCTTCAAATGAGTGTTTATAGTTTGGGTTGTTTATGGTAATTCACATTAGAATACAGTGATCTTGCTCTTGTGTGTTGCTGTTGAACATTACAGTGAAAGGCAGCAGAGTACAGCTACTCCACATGGTGGTAGCTAATTAGTAGACCGCTGGCCAAGAAACCTGTATATGATTTTCAGTGTAGTCTACTAGAGGTTTGGCTTCTCTTTCATGAAACATCTTTTACTGCCTTGAGAGGAAGCTGATGTGGCTTTATCTTAAAGTGGATTTTGGAGAAGCAGAGCTTAACAGTACCTGTGAATGCTAATTTACATTTTTAGTAATGGATGCAAAGAACTGTATGTAATTTGGAAGTAATGGATTTCAACAGAAGAGAGTGAGTTTGTACCAAGTTTGTTTAGGCAACCTGTTCTTGGCAAAACATAAATGTTATCTGTAGCTTAACTGTGAAGTTTAGACTAAAGATTCTTGGGCAATGTTGATGCACCAGTTTTTAACCCATACAGAAATAATGATATTTGATTATATTTACCCCTTTTCCTCCCTGCCACCATATCAACTGCCACTCTGAGAGACAAGTTCCTTTCGTAAAAAGGCCACTGAAATCAAAGTAGCTGCAAATTCAGTAAAAGCCCAGGGAGTCCCACATTGACAGAACTCATGCTTCATCCTGTCCTAGATAGGCTATCCTGCATTCCCTGGACTTGGGCTCCATGTCAAAAATAGACTTGTAGTGCATCTTCAAAAGAGCTGGTCAGCCCCATTTATCACCCATCCATCAGATCAGATCTATGTAGGCCAAACCAAACAAGGCAAGGGGAAATAGCTGCTCATTGGACTGGCCAGTTTGAACAAATAAGTCATAGTCAACTTCTGTCATAGCTTTAAAAAGACTTGGGAATTACTACACACAGTGGCATGTCTTTGTTCCACATAGGCTTCTTCCATCTCCTTTCCAACCAGGAGTATTGTTTCTCACATTTTCTCCTGCATAGAGACTCGATAAAACATCATTTTCATTCTAACTCTACCTCTAAGATTACTGTGATGAATTTGAAACTAAATTGCCAAAAAAAAATTTAAACCAAATTTGATTACTTTCACTGAAAGAAAGTCAAGTTGCAATAGGTGTGATTTGAGTTGCCTGAAATGAGATTTGTGCTGTTGTGAATGGCATTCTGTTGTTGGTTTGTATCTCTATGTATTTGTGTGGAACTTAAAATAGCTCACTGGCTAATACGCGTATAGGGGACAAGACATGACCTGTGTTATTTCTGTATATCAGATGTTCTTCATGCTCTTCCCTAACTGCACATGCCAAAAAAGACATGTATTTTCTAAGATCCTTGCACAAGAGAGCTGTGAGCCCTGTTCAGATCCACAGAACCTGAGGTCCTGAGAATGACTCATACTTCTGTCTTCCTGAGGGCCCAGGAACAATCCAGCTGATGACAACTTAGCACAGTGCTGCAAGGGGACTGACAGAGGCAAGTCTAGGGAGCTTCTAGCAGTGCACGGTCCCAGCCTAGTAGTAAGTTGATTCTATGTCTTGCTTTGCCCATCCTGTCATTGTCTCTACTGCTGGGGACAAGTCATGGGGTTTGAAATATTGAACCTTGGCACTCTGCTTCTTCTCTTAAACTGAGAAATTACTTTTCACTCCACACAGAAAGCAGCAAAGGCTCCTTCTATGTTGTAGATGTTTCATGAACTCGGTTAAAGAGTGAGCTGCTGTTCCTGGAAGGTGACTGCACACCTTCCTTAAGATCACATGCTAAGGAAAAAATGAGCAAGATAAACATCACACTAACAGATGCTTTGGGAACAGGGTAGTGCATCATCTTTCTCTGTCTAGGTGGCTTCATCTTGAGCAGGGGCTGTGAGGTTTTTATGGGATTAGAGCCACAGAAGGGCATTCATTCTTCATCATC